GAGAGACACACAGAGAGAGGCAGAGACACAGGCAGAGTGAGAAGCAGGCTCCTAGCAGGAAGCCTGGTACAGGACTCAATCCCAAGACCCTGGGATCACACCCTGAGCCAAAGGCAGATGCTCAACCACTGAGCCACCCAGGCGTCCCTGTCTCACTTTATTGTGATATTTGTTTCATTGTGGTGGTCTGGAGCCAAACCTGCAATATCTCTGACACATGCCTGTATACAGTTAGAAAAGTGGAATGAGGCTCAGAGGTGAATCCTCACAAACATACACCACTGCTATCCCCAGCAGGTATTATTATGACCCAATGTTGCAGGTTAGGGAACCAAGACTCAGAGAGAGAGCCTGCCTTGCCCAAGACCAAAGGCAACAGTGGACAGCTATTCCCAAAGCTAGGATTGCTCTTTCTCCTTTAGTGCATTGCCTGTCCTAGGAAAATTGAGCCACTGAGAATACCCAGAAGGAGGGGCTGGGTACTGTCTCTCTTACAGCAGTGACTATCCAGCAGCAGTGTAAATCTGGGCTTCATAAAGCCTAGAGTAAGCCCTTCTCCACTGTCCATCGATCACACTGCACACATTCCTTACACCTCACTTTTCTCCACACTAGCCAATGTTGTCTCAATCACTCAGGTGGAACTTAGCATATAGTAATGAATAATAGTTTTGTCTTCAAATTTGTACTTCCTGCCCAATTGCTGGAGCTTCTTAGTCTAGAGTTAATGGGCAGGGTGAAAAGGATTCACTAACCTCTATAATTATAAGTACATCTGTGTGTGAGTTACATTTTTTTCTGGGGCAAGAGGCTTTAGGTTTCACCATTTCTGATATGCTCACAAAAGTGAAAACCTTCAAATGAGGATTCATGTCTTCTACTTCTTTTCTATTCCCAGTACTTAGCAAGAATACCCTGCATCTGGTAGATGCTGAATAGATGTTCAGATTATGGGGGAACCAGAAACTTGTTGATTACAAAACATTCTAGAAGTGACTGACAAGGAGTGGAGGGTGGGACAGGGCAGCTTTATGCAGTGAAAGTGAGAAAGTGTGGGTTTAGGCAGCTCAAATGTTGCTTCTCCTTTTATGTGTTCCTTAATTTCCTAAGCAGTCTGTCCTTCCTTCTGCTTTGCATGAGTGAGTGAGAGAGCCAAAGAGAGAGTGTACACTTGAGAGACAGTAGTAGCTATCAAAATCTTGAGTTAGAACAGGGAGTACCAGCCAGAGAGAGGGAGGGAGAGGGAGAGGGCAGATGCACTGTCTAGAGCACACACTTGAATAGAGGCGAAAGGATATGCTGGATCAGGCCTGGGGGAGAGACATCCTGAGGCAGGGAAGACCCCAAGAAAGAAGAGAGAGCTAGAGCACAGGAGGCAAGGAAGGCAGACACAGAGTGAGCCAGCTATGTAGCGAGGGACCTCAGGGGCAGGGCAGGCAAGCAGGTTTAGGGCACAGTGTGGGGAGAGAGCAGAAGTCAGGAATGGAGAGAGAGCTCATTACAGTAAACTGGAGCAACCACTCAGGATCAATGGGACCTGGGTAAGAGAGAGAGGAGGGAGGGGGGGAGATGCATGCTCATGTTCCAGAGAGTCAAAGAAAGGGAAAAAGCCCAGAGCCATAGCAGAATCAAGGTGAGTGTAATCTTCCCCATGCAGGAGGATGGGGCCAGTGCAAGGAAGAACCCATATGACAGAGGATAAGGACCGGGGCAGTTAAGAACAGGAAAACTGGAAAACCAGGGAGTGGGGGAAAATTTAATGAGAAAAAATGAAGTGGAGTTGCGGGGCAGAAGCCAAGAATGCAAGAATGAAGAGAGAAGGGAAAGGCAGGCTTAGCAGCAGAAGGAAAGAGACAGGCAAGAGAGTTCAGGAGACCCATTGTGTCTGTGTCCCCATGCTGCTGAGTCTCCCTCCCCAGCACGAGGAGCAGTTGCTGTCCTTGCCTGCCCAGTTCTTCTATGCAGGAGTGCCATGCTCTCTTTAGGACTGCGCCCTGTTTCATTTCTACGCTGTGCATGAGATCTGCCATAGCCGCTAAAAAAGGAAAATAAACCAGAGCTGAGGCTCGATCATGCAGGATGTGTAGATCACGCTATCCTTAATTTGCTGTGGCCGATGCTGTTTTCCCATCTTATGTTTTATGTTTATAAGTGCTTCCACTGAAATTTCCTAGGGCAGAATGAAAGTGAGACCTGAAACCCAATCCTGATCAACATCTTGGGAAAGGGAGGTGAGGCACTTAACTAAAAGAAGACTTCTGATGGGACGCCTGGGTGGCTCAGCGGTTGAGCATCTGCCTTTGGCTCAGGGCGTGATCCTGGAGTCCCGGGATCAAGTCCCACATCGGGCACCCAGCATAGAGCCTGCTTCTCCCTCTGGCTGTGTCTCTGCCTCTCTCTGTGTCTTTCATGAATAAATGAATAAAATCTTAAAAAAAAAAAGAAGATTTCTGGATTCTATGGGATATTCTGTGTCCAAACATAACTCTGATTTGTCAGTGATGATCCTTGAAACTTCAGTTGAGCCTCATCTCTAGAGCTAGTTGGTCGGTTTCTGCAAGATTGGAATTCTACCTTGTGTTCCTTTCTGTCCAGCCCAACTGTCCCTCCCTAGAATATAAGACAAGGTAGGTTTCAACGGAGCAGAGCACAGGAAATATTTGTGGACTCTGCGGTTTCGTTGATCCTACGTTGTTGTTATCATTATCAGAATCTTTCACAAGTGATGGCTGTACTGAGACCCAGCACTGTGTGCAGCTCTGGACAAAGGGAACTCCTGGACAAGAGCTTTGCCCTGTGGCAGTAAATGCAGACATACAAACATTAAGGGGAAATCACTGCTCCAGGACCTAGGACCTGAGCGCCATTTGCAGGTTGCTCTCCTGTCCTGGAAGCCACAGGCCTCCGAACTGGGAGTGGCCTGCATTTCCTTACCTCACACGTTCCTATCCTTTAGCCTTTACCCCTACTTTGTTCAGTTCACTGTGAAACCCACCCTGTCAGAAGAAGGCAGCCTGAGCAATGTCGACAGCCTCCAACCTGAGCAGCATTGGGAAGAAGACAACAGGACATTGATGACTATTTTAGTTTTTTCTACTAACTAATACTTGTTTTTTTTTTCTACTAACCAATGCTTTATTTTTCTACTAACCAATGCTTTATTCCTTTTTTTAAAAGATTTTATTTATTTATTCACGAAAGAGACAGAGAGAGAGAAAGAGAGGCAGAGACACAGGCAGAGGGAGAAGCAGGCTCCATGCAGGGAGCCTGATGTGGGACTCGATCCCGGGTCTCCAGGATCACACCCTGGGCCAAAGGCAGATGCTAAACCCAGGGATTCCCCCCCCCCAATACTTTATTTCTTAAACCAGCATAATCTGCAAGCAAAGAATTCACTGTTTATGATGAGATGGCAAGTGTCATTTCTAGCTATAGGAAAGAATAGGTAGAAGGAAGAGCTCATATGTAGAAATGAGAATTTTAGGAAGAGCATAAAAGAAGAAAGAGGGGAACTTAACCTTGGACCGCGTCTGCCTCTCCTACCACTCATCCTTCACTCCCAGCCTCTTCGCTCCCCAACACGTGTCTCAAGGGGACATGTCATTTCCAGTTGTGAATCCAGATCATAGGATGGTCCCTGACTGAATTCCTGGCATCCTTTAGTGACAAAGATAGAAGGTTTCAGGAGGCTGGAAGAGGATTGATCTATTGGAACCAGACTCGGAACAGTTTTAATAACCACAACAACAGCCAGTGCTCTAGAGTGCTCAGTATTTGCCTGACACTCTCCCAAGCACTTTGTATTGTTATTTGACTTTATTCTCCCGCCAATTCATGTATTCTTACATCTGACAGATTGAGACAGAAGGTTGGACAAGTGCGACTTGCCAAGGCTTCCCAGAGTAAGCAGCAGAGCCAGAATGAAAACCCGTCTTTCCGATCCCAAAACCTGCAGTTCAACCACACTGCTTGATGTAGTGCCCTGCTCAGCATTAGATCAGAGGGCACTTACTAAATACTTCATCAAGAAAACAGAGACTCCAGACACATTGGCAGCTCTTCTAGCCTTGAAAAACACAAACACTTCAGCTCATTTTATTGCTTCATTTGTCTCTTTCCCTAATTCTGTTCTCTCCAGACTTGTAATCCCATTTCTTTCATTAATCGACTATATACATGCAGATGAATAATAAGTTCTCTGATGCTCGTTTTTTCCATCCTAAAAGTGAAGAGGTAGACATGGGGTGAGAGATGACCCCTAAGATCATTGCCAGGAAGGCCACTGTAGGAAATCTGCCTCCTTTGCTGGTTTTAGCTGGTTTAGCAGAAGGAAGAATGGCAGGTCATAGATATTTTTTTTAGGTTTTTAAAATTTATTCATTTGAAAGAGAGTGAGTATGAGCCAGGGCGTGGGTAGGGAAGGGCAGAGGCAGAAGGAGAGGATAACCAGGCTCATTCCAAGGGCTCAATACCAGGATTCCAATATTATGACCTGAGTTGAAGGCAGATGCTTAACCAACTGAGCCACCCAGGCGCTCCCAGGTCATAGACTTTAAAATCAGGCATCTAGGGAATCCCTGGGTGGCTCAGTGGTTTAGCACCTGCCTTTGGCCCAGGGCGTGATTCTGGAGTTCCAGGATGGAGTCCCACATCAGGCTCCCTGCATGGAGCCTGCTTCTCCTGCCTGCCTGCGTCTCTGCCTCTCTCTGTGTCTGTCTCTCATGAATAAATAAATAAAATCTTTAAAAAAAATCAGGCATCTAAAAAATAAAATAAAATAAAATAAAATAAATAAAATAAAATAAAATGAAATGAAATCAGGCATCTGATTTCAGATCTCACCTAGTGAACCACACGTGGCCTTGTCCTTCTGGTGGCAGGTATGTTCCAGGCCTCAGTTCAGAAGTGGTCCCACCCCAGGCTGATGGAAAGCTGATGTGTATGTGTGTGTTCTCTAGGAAGCATCTTGTGACATTTCACTTCTGCCTCTTTGCTCCCAGCATCCGCCTGCTCTTCTGCTGTTGGAGCACCCTGACTGTGCCATCCCGCAGGCCATGGAGAATGAGCTGCCAGTCCCCCATACATCCAGCAGTGCCAGTGTCACCAGCAGTGCCAGCAGTGGCTGCAACAGTGGCAGCAGTGGTGGGAGTGGCCGCCCCACTGGGCCCCAGATTTCTGTGTACAGTGGCATTCCTGACCGGCAGACTGTGCAGGTAAGAGTCCAGCTGATCTAGAGATTGTATTCCTGGATCATCTTGGGGCTAGCCAGGAGGACGTGTTGGCGTGGGCTGGTGGAGCAACCAGGGTATGGAACCTAGATTGGGCATAAGGAGGGGGTGTTCCTGGTTATATATCTAGGCACAGTTAGGAGAAATGATGCTAGATGGGTCCAATCAAGGGGGTTCAGGGAGAGTGGTAACACTTCACAACCTGGAAAATTATCTCACCTGGTGACTCAGATCCCAGAGTCCTGTTTGGGCGGATAGGCATGTGAAAGTGTAAAGTGGGTAGGGAGCTGGAACAAGTAAAAATAACAAGCAGAAAAAAATGATTGGGAACTTCTCAGCCATGACCTAGACCTATTCGAAGGACCATTGCCCTGTCATAAAACAAAGTTTCTTAGAGACCAAAAAGGAACCCCAAAGCAAGCTGCCTAAAGCAGCAGTCTGCTAAGTATCATCCATGAGGCTTCTGAGTGATGACACCTGGTTCCAAACAGTCATGCCCATGTCTCACCATCTGCTTTGTGCCCCACACTGTACGAAATCACCACAGATGTATCTTCTCCTCCAGATGAAAATGGCTATTATAGGTACAGTTCCATAACTGAGAAGGCTGAGTCTCAGTAAAAGTAGTACCTTGTCTAGGTCATTCAGATAAAGACCAAAAAAAGCTGAACCTCATTCTACCTGCAGCCCTGTGTTCTTAATCACCACAGTGTCTGTTTGAGGCCCCCAGATAAGACACAGAAAGGGGGGACGCCTGATTGGCTTAGAGGTTAAGTGTCTGCCTTTGGCTCAGGGCATGATCCTGGAGTCCCTGGATTGAGTCCTGCATCAGGCTCTCTGCATGGAGCCTGCTTCTCCCTCTGCCTATGTCTCTGCCTCTCTCTCTCTCTGTGTGTCTCTCATGAATAAATAAATAAAATCTTAAAAAAAAAAAAAAAAGAAGACACAAAGTGTATGCAGCTGAGAAGAGTTCACTCCGAGGAACTTTGCTAATCCAGCATGGATGTACCAGACAAATGACCATGCCCTGCTTTGGCCCCTGGCCCAGATTAGGGAGTGGAGGAGGGGTCACAGCAGACAGTGGGAGAGTCTGAAGACACCATCAGATACACTAGAGTCTTCCGTCCTTGGGTTACATCTGCCTCCCCCATGGGATAAAAACCATGTTTCCTACACCCATTCCTGCCACCCCCCACACACCTAGCCTTTTCCCAGCCCCTTGGCATGTGAGTGTTTGAACACAGCTTCTAGCAGCTCACATTAGGATATGCCATCCTTCCACCCCTCATCACAACTCTAGATACAAGGGATTTGGGGTTTTCTGCAATGGTAGATGGAATCGCCCATGGCTATGTTATGTACCCAAGCAGGTACAGGGTTCTTGCCATTTCCACTCACTGACACCAGCCCTCTAGTGAGGAAGAGCCACAGTATCTCTGCTACTACTGTCTAGATTGTGGGGAGGTACTTTCAGGAGTCTAAGGAAAATAGAGAGGCCTAGGTAAAGGGAATAAGAAGAAAGAATTCTGGGAGAGAAGAGGAATAAACAGAACTGTGCTTGTATAAACCAGGACCCTCTGAGGAGAGAGAACACTGAAGGGGAGTGGGATCTGAAGACTTGGGATAGGGTAGGGGAATCAGGAGACCCCAGAGCCCATGAAGAATCTGTGATGTTAGCCTGTTTTCACAGAACTCCAGATCTGAGCCCACATATGGTTTTGTTCCAGAGCCAGCAGCCCTAGAAGTCATGCTTAGCTAGAGAGAGCCAGACTGGATGCTTGCTTGTTGGGGGCAGGACCCAGGGTTGGGAGCAGTCCCATGGTCAGGGATTTAGCAGAGCTAAGGGGTAGCAAGCAGGTCAAAGGCTGGTCAGGGCCCGCATAGAGCATCAGGCGGCAAGAGATGGCAGATAGGTGACCAGGTAAGGAGAAGGGAGGAGAAATGTCTGTGGGGCTTAGGAGAAGAAGACAGAAGATCTCAGGGTTGGGTGAAAGGCATTCACTTTCTTTGTTCCTAGGGGCAGAGGGAGGCTTTGGGACACTGTGAGTGAAGAGTGGTGGGCAGCGGGGGGGAACCAAAGGCAACCTTTGTGGCTTCCTAGAAACAGTGGCTTAGCCAGTCCCATCAGGAAAGAGAAGTAGCAGCAAGGCCAGGTGATGGTGATGATAGCCAGAAAGAGGGAACGATGGAGAAGGGAAAGGAAAGATTACAAGAGAAATGCATCATCCTTGTGCCACTGGCCTGCTTTCCAAGGCCAATGAGACCATCATCTAAGGGACCCATAGCACTTCCCAGCAGCCAGGAGCAGACCCTGGCAAGCAGCCCCAGTGGGAGGGTGTTGCCCCAGGCTGTTTCCACCTGGCTGGCACTGTTAATGCTGGACTAGGCCCCCCTTTGCACCGGCCTCTCTCTCCCACCCCTTTCCTTCTCTCTGCCTCTTTGGGCTTCAGTTTCCCTGCTGTCACCGTCTAGTGGTCCAGTCACCCAAGTCTGAGGACAGGGAATGGCTGGGAGGTGGAGTGGCAAACAAGCCTGGCATGGGATAGTTCACCAGAGGCTTACAGGACTGCTAACTTCTCTGAGTCTCCCCAGTGCCCAGAGCAGACCAGAGCAGCACTGCTGCTCTGACTTTCTCCAAGCTGGCAGCTGACACAGAAGCAGATGCAGTTGGGGAGGAGCCGAGGCGCACAGGAGCCAAAGATGTGCAGGACAGATGAGGGCAGAGAAGTATCAAGTTTGAAAGCCTGTTGTCTTCTCGCCTCCCTAGGGAGTGGCCATCTGTTCCAGTGGTGGTCACAGACCTAGTATCCTCTGAGCAGCTAGGGAGAGCTGGGGTTGACAAGGCATTGTTGCAGAAGGGACAACCCCCTCCTCTGCAAGCAAGGTGACAGTGCAGCCTCCCCCTGCCACCTGGCCTAGGTGATCCAGCAGGCCCTGCACAGGCAGCCCAGCACAGCAGCCCAGTACCTGCAGCAGATGTATGCTGCACAGCAGCAGCACCTCATGCTGCAGACGGCGGCTCTCCAGCAGCAGCATCTCAGCAGTGCCCAGCTCCAGAGCCTGGCGGCCGTGCAACAGGTGAGAGAGGGAGGCAGGACACCCAAGGGTGTGGGGGGGAGGTATTGGTGGGGGGGTGGCTAGGAGCAGTCATGGCATTGACAGAAGTAAGAGTGGGGAGGAGCAGACCCTGTGCATGGGCTCCCCAGGCCTTCTCTTACTATACCCTCACAGAACCCCGGTGAGCAGGTGCAGGCACAGTGGGCATGGTCCTTTACAGCCAAGGAAGGAGTCTGTGGGCACACAGCCCATGAGTGGATGGTGGAACTCTCTGCCCACCTGGCCCAGGAAGACAGCTGGAGGAGTCCCTCCTCCCCACAGCACCACACTATTGAGAGGGGCCGAGGGGCCGACCGGGTGTCTACAAGACAAGGCCATTGCCCACCTAGCATCCTGTCTGTCCTTGGTGGCTGAGAAGAACTCATTCGTTCACTGGAAGTTTCGTGTACCTACTGTGCGCCACAGTCCATGTCAGATACTGAATCTACTGCAGACCTTGTCTTCTTGGAGCTTCAAGTGGGGTGACAGCAAGTAAACAGACACCCAAAGAGACAAGGAAATAACATATCTAAATCTCTAAGTTGCCATAAGCACTCTGAAAGAGAAGAAGGGCTTGCTCTGACCAAGAGACAGGAGGACTGCCCTCGGTGGGCGACGAGGGACATTCTGTCTGCTGGAGTGACTCGGAAACCAACACACGAAGAAGAAGCCAGCCACGGGGAAGGGGGGCAGGCTGGCCATGCCAGACAGAATGTGCAAAAGTCTTTCACGGGGTCCATGAGCCCAGTATGATAGAGCAGGCTAAAGCAGGGCTGTCCAGACACTGGGAAAGATAGGTAATAATTGTAGCTCATGATCTGAGTGCTTACATGTAAATGCTTTGCCTTATTTAATCCTTTCCTTGATGCTACAAAGTAGATTCTGTTATCATCCCCACTTTATCAAGAGGAAACTGAAACGCATACTTGAGGCCACACAGATGAGGCAGATGAGGGATGGACTCCTAACCACTGTCCTAGAGTGCTTCCTCTGAGAGCCTGGGGAATGGCTGGGGTTGACCTGGGACCCCTGTGATAAGAATTGTTCTTTTCTAGGCAAGCCTGGTGGCCAACAGACAGGGAAGCACTTCTAGCAGCAACGTGTCTGCCCAGGCCCCAGCCCCGTCATCCTCGGTGAGTAGGTTGGGGAACAGCAAACAGAGCCTACAGCTCTGGGACCAGCTCCTTCCTCCTTGCCCTAGATAGATGCTCGCGTGCTCCCAGACCCAGCTGGTGAATCCTCAGCCACAGACAACCATGGCTGGAATCTATTACTCTTGCCAGAAGGAAAAAAAAAAAAAAAGCATATGCCTGTTTCTAACCCTGACTTTCGTAACTCCCTGTCATCTTTCTTGCCAATGTCCAGGCTCTCTGTTTATAGTTCAGTTCTCTGCCCCATTGGACCCTTCCTACAGCCCCACACAGAAGCCAGGGTGATGCTGGGGGATGCTCCAAGGCCCAAGTACCAGGGAAGGTCCTAAAGAAGGCTGCATCCACCAAGGAACAGAAGATAGGGAAAAAAAGAAATGAAGGAGAGGGGCCCAGAGTTAACCAACAGAACCTCCTGTTTGTTACTGCGTGTGTCTCTCTCACCAGATCAATCTGGCAGCCTCCCCAGCAGCAGCCCAGCTCATCAACAGGGCACAGAGTGTCAACTCAGCGACAGCCTCGGGCATCGCCCAGCAGGCTGTGCTCTTGGGCAACACGTCTTCTCCAGCCCTGACTGCAAGCCAGGCACAGATGTATCTAAGGGCACAGATGGTGAGTACCCAGCCTGGGCCATGGCTCAGGTGGGCTGGGAGGATGGAGGCAGAGAAGCCTGGCCTGGGAGGTTAGAGAGGGTAGGAATTAGAGACGTGGGGGGAGGGAAGGAGCACCAAGGAACAGACAGCAAGAGGTTAAGGGGTGGAATAAACAAGAGGGCACCTGACAGGCTGAATAGGAGCTTGGGTACAGGCTCAGTGACCCAACAGGTGGGGTTTCTGGCTGAAATGGAGAAGATAGCCCATGATGTATCCTTTCCTTCCCTAATTGTCCTCTTCTTATCAGAAACCCCACCCCCCCAAAAATTAATTAGGGTAGAAAATGCAGGGGCCGATGCCCAGATGGTCAGTATCCTTGGATGCTTAAGATAAGCAAGCACACAGACATCCTTGTACTCTACAGAAATGGGGTCATAACCCCCTGTGGCAGTCCTTACAGGGACTGGCCATCACTAGTTCAAGCGCCAAAGGTGGATTCCAGTCCAGGTGATGAAGGTGGCATTCAGTTTCAAGATCTGCTGCTGCCTCCACTGCTCTCCCAACTGGGCCCCCATCCAAATCAGGGTTACTCTATATCACCTGTTAATTCAGCATATTTGAATGTGCCAAATGTGCCCGGGATGGTATCATCCCCAGACCTGCATATCTAGAATCTCTCCTTTACACCTGTCCCTAAGGGATGCAAAGATCCTTAGGAACCTTATGGGTTCCTAAGATTTAGAAGAATTTCCAGGGAAGACAGCGGCATACTCCTCAGGAGGCAGTTAACATCTAGCTGTCTGTTGGGCTCACTGAGTCTGATCTTGTGTCTCCCATCCTGAAGATTTCTCTCTCCGGCTCTTTGACACACTATCCTGAAGACAATACAGTCCTACCCTCCTTTTGCTTCTGGAGCCAGAACTGGGCACCTGGAGCTTTTCTGGTCTTGCCCCAGCACTTCCTCTCTTGACTCTGAGTTCATTGTTTGTGGTATTCCATTCCCAGGGAATAGCCTCTTGGACACACAGTATGGAGTAGACATCCACTTCTCTAGGGACAGGACAAGCACAGTATGACACTGCCCAAACTTGCCTTTGTCTTCAGTTGACTCATTCCCTTGTTCTACTCAGCTGCCCCAATTGGAATCCTTAAGTAGGGCAAACTGCACAGAGGACTAGACATAGGTGCACCTCAGAGTCTGGGGCAAAGCAGCCCCTGAGTAATCAGCACGGCCACATGGGCACCAGCTAGGCTCGTGGGATTGGAGGTGTCATGCAGAGACTACCGTGTAACCCACAGCCCATGGAAGGAGATGCAGACATGAATGCTGCTCTGGGCACCCTGTTTCCTCCACCACTGTTGTCTCTACACCCCATACCCAAATCCAAATTTGACTAAAAACTGAGAAAAAAATACATCTAATTTGATCCCTTGTGTAGGGGAGCCCTGTTCTGGCCCAGACCTGGAGTCAGAATGGGTTAGACCAGGAAAGAGGTCCTAGGGCATCTGTCTGAACCTAAGCAAGGTCTCTGCTCCCCGGGGTGCTACGGAGAGAATGACTTCAGAGTATCCCAGGAACGTTGGCCCCTCTAGGATGAGCAACTCACAGAGGCTTCTGAAGTAAACACAACATGCATCCCCAGATTGGCTCTCCTCCGCCATCCCCCTCACCACCCAGCCTGGATCAGGATGCTACAAGCCTCTTGAGACTTTCAGGTGGTCCCCTTGGACTCTCCCTCTCTTGCCTCCCTCTTTCCCCATATCTGCTCCTTGGCTGAACTGTCCTGTCCTGTAGCTGAGCCCACATTGGGCAGGTAAAAGGCGCCTCGTTTCCTGTGATTCCAGGCCCAGCCAGGTAACCTGGTGCAGGTAGCTAGGAGCCTAGGCGGCACTGTTCCTTTGTCCCCTCAGCTCATCTTCACGCCCACGGCCACCGTCGCTACTGTGCAGCCTGAGCTCGGCACTGGCTCCCCCGCCCGGCCCCCCACCCCCGCCCAGGTGAGGATTCCATACTGGTGGGAGGGCCGGGGGGTGGGCACCTCCGTAGAAGGGTACTGATACTGGGTATGGGCACAGGCCCTGAGGTACTTTGATTATTTGGAAAGGTTGGGATCTTCTAGGAAAGCCGGGGGGAGACAGGACATCCCGATGCTCCCAGACTTACTCCTTAATTAATATCCCGTTGAGAAGACCTCAGCCACTCATGACTCTGTTCCACTCCCTCAAACATAGATCAGGAGTCAGAGAGCAGCATGCTGAGGCAAATGCGGTTGCCAATAATGGATGGTCATGACTAGCTTTTTACTGTACACCCTTCCCAGTATAACTTCTGTGTTGCTTTTCAAGTAGAACATCCCACTCTGGTTACACACACTAGCCCCTCTAGTTCAGGAAAAATGCCACAGAAGAGGGAGCAAAGATAAGTCCTGGGTCCCCACCTTCTGCTGGCAGCACACAGATACTGCTGTGGCTGTAAAGATGCTATGGGCAGCAGGGAGCAAAACAGCCCCTCACACTCCCTCCTCACCCTGGCTACAGAACGGGACAGCACTTGGTAGCAAGAGAATCAGATTTGTCGGAAGTGAGTCTGGCACAGCCTCGGCGCATCCAGCAGAGGGCACCAGGGGCCAGGTTGAGTAAGCACACGGATCCTGGTGTAATAAACCTTATTCTGAGGACATGATGATCCTTTGCCTGGTGGCTGCGCTGGTCAATTAACTTTCACTTTTGCCCTGGCCTTTTTGAGTTTTAGATGCCCCATACCCCACTGTAGCTGGGAATTCTTTCCAAATGGAATGCATCCCATCCTGATAGTTTGGGGGAGGAGAGGAGGTAATGGGAGAGAGTGCCCACCCCAGCCTGGGCAGTCATCCCTTCTCAGAATTCAATTTCTTCTGCTGACGGATCCAATCACTAGCACTCTTTCTTGTCCCCTTTAGAAACTACCGCTCCTGGTTCCTCTTTCAACCCCTAACTCGTTTTCTCTCTTTCTCTCTGATTTTGCAACCCACTGTCCTATTTAAGTCATTCCTAGGTCCATCCCTGACTCCTTCCCCGTCTTAGCTGTGTGATACCATTACTCCTACCCGCATTCTTGGGACTCCCATAGACCCCTCTTTTCCAGGTACAGAACTTGACCCTCCGAACACAGCAGACACCAACTGCAGCAGCCTCGGGCCCTACCCCCACTCAGCCTGTCCTGCCCAGCTTGGCCCTGAAACCCACGCCAGGTGGTAGCCAGCCTCTGCCTACCCCATCACAGGGCAGAAACACCGCTCAGGGTTCCCCCGCAGGTGCCAAGCCTGGCATAACTGACAGTGTGATGGAGCCACTCAAGAAAGGAGATGGTAACAGCAGTGTGCCAGGGAGCATGGAAGGCCGGGCTGCGCTCAGCCGGATGGTACCTGCTGTGGCCACCCACCCCCTCGTTGCTCCAGGTAAGGGCTCCAGAAACAAGGATCGTATCCCAGAAAACTCAGGACTAGGGGGAGGAGGAAGCTTTCAAACTTTCCTTTTTTCCCACGGATGTACTAAGATACTAGCCCTGTATCTCTTTTCCCTCTTCCAATCTTGAGAAGTTCATCAGCTCCTGGTTCTGCATCATGCCTCCATGTAGCTTTAGAGGAGGAAGCCACAACATTTGGAATAAACTAGTCCTTTGTGATGGGCGCAGTGGTGAACCATAGCTCTTAGCCATGAGAGAGTGGAGGTTGGCAGTTGGACTACTTTGAAATACTTGAAGGGTCAGCTACAGGGATGGGGACAAGCCAGGTGCACACAAGAACCACACAGGGAGTTGAAGTGGGAAGTTGATTTTATCATCATTCAATAGACATTTGTTGACTAATATATGCCAGTTATGTTGCCAGTTCTAGATGCACAGAGATGAATGAGACTTGGGCTCTGCTCTCTGGGAAGGGTACCGGCTGGGAAGAAAAGTACTATGAGGTGCAGTGTGATCAGTGCTCTCATATATGTGAGCTCTGAGCATGGCAGGAGCATGGGAGAGCTATCCAGCTCTGGGGAGGGGAGCCAAAAAGGCTTGCCAATGAGGGTATCACTTCAGGAAAAAATTTAGCAGATTAAAAAATATATAATAATCAGATTACTTATGAGAGATTCTGTGATGGGGCTGAGTCAGCATTCCCAGAAGCTGGACCTCTTTCCCTGTTGCTAGCATGTCCCAGTATTGCCTTTTCTAAGCAGTCTTTTCTCAGAATAGCCTTAGAAGTCAGCTTATCAGTCTAGGGAATAAGACCATGCTGTTAGACCATAGAAGTAAATATAATAGCAATAGACTACATGGCTTTGCATTAATTTTTTTTTATTTATGAGAGAGAGAGAGAGAGAGAGAGAGAGAGAGAGGCAGAGACATAGGCAGAGGGAGAAGCAGGCTCCATGCACCGGGAGCCCAATGTGGGATTCGATCCCGGGTCTCCAGGATCGCACCCTGGGCCAAAGGCAGGCGCCAAAACGCTGCGCCACCCAGGGATCCCCATGGCTTTGCATTAAAGAGAAAATCAGGGGTGCCTGGTGGCTCAGTGGTTGAGCATCTGCCTTCAGCTCAGGCTGTGATCTCAGGGTCCTAGGATAAGTCCCACATCAGGCTCCCTGAAGGGAGCCTGCTTCTCCCTCTGCCTATGTCTCTGCCTCTTTCTGTGTGTCTCTCATGAATAAATAAATTTAAAAGAGAGAGAGAGAGAATCACCCTGGTCACATCCTTGAGACAACCACTGACCTTTTGTCCTCATCCAGACCATTTTGCCATCCAGTCTAACCTATATTTTTTTTTTTCTTTAGAGTTTGTGTATGCTGGTTACTAGATTAACCAACGGGGTCAAAATACAATTCCTTACCTAAATGTGCAGTCAAAAGGAGGGAGCCAGGTATATAAGCAAATCCATTCAATTTCATAAATTCTATTACAGAAGTAAGTTCAAGGTAAATGTGGACACAGCCAACTCAGTGCCAGGAGGAGGGGTCAAAGATACTGTCCCTCAGAGGAAATGGCATGTGAGTCTCAAAGCAGGAGTAGTTTACCCAACAACAGACAAAGTAGGGGAAGATATTCAAGATAGAGGAAAGTACAGGTCAAGTGTCACGACTGAGCAATGAAGAATCTGAGCCACAATCCTTTATTTACTTTCTTGAGGTTTCGAGGACAAAGGATTGGTGATTCTCTGCCTTTGGACAGTCACTGCTGGGCTGAGGAAGGCAGCTCCCTACAGTCACTTAGCACTTCTCCCTTCTCATTCAAGCTACAAACCCTACAAACCCTACATCCTGAGAACCATACCCACCCAAGCCAAAATGTAGCCTCTCCCCAGATCCAACCCAGCCCCCCAGGTTCTAAGGACTCTTCAAAAGAAAGACCCGTTCTTGAATTCTTCCTAAATGTGCTAGGCAATCCTGGGGTCTTGAGAAAACAGGGCGCTATTAAAACAGCTGTTGTAAACTAGACCATATGCTAGGCATTTTTATGCATACCACCTCTTTTTGCCTTGGAAAGAACCCTATAAGGTAGGTGTGTTTATCCATTTTGCAGAGGAGAAGACGAGAGCTCAGAGAGGTTATCCAAGAACTTGCTACATGTGTCGCTCAAGGTCACACAAGTCGAAAGTGGCAGAAGTGGGAACCAGGTCCATGCCCGGCTGAGTCAGATTCTGTGTCCTTAGCCATTAAGCCATATTTGCCGCTCTCAATTCTTGCAGTAATGTGGGTCTTTCCTAGGCCTTTCCTGTTCATGACCCAAAAGTCAAAGAGCCTGATGGTTCTAAGTTCTGTAGTTTACAGAATCGAGTGGAAGGCTCTCTTCTCTTGAACCTTATGGAGGTGAACACCTGTGAGTTACAGGCTGAGGTCTGGGGCCCCTGGCATGGCCTGAAACTAGCAGTATGTGGCTATATGCAATATAGAGACCAGTGGTTCCACAGAACTTTCTATGGGGCAGCTGTGGGCTGCATCTAGATCACACAAATCAGTGGGCTTTGCATGGTTCCTACCTCCTACCATCACCTCCCATTCTTCCTTACTTCTTCTACCCCTTCCTCTCTACAAGCCCAGTGATTCTACTCCCCACCCCTAACCTCCCAGATGCAAGGCAATGGGGAGGGTCAGGAAGCTGCAGATCCTCTCAGGGCTCTGGAACAAAAAAAAGACAAATAATCTTTATGCCCTAGTAGGGGCAGCCTGGAGGAGCCCCTGCCCTGGGCTCCTGCGTCCTCAGGCAAAGGTAACTTCTGGCCTCCTGCCCAGCCAACCCACTGCAAATGAACAGAGATCAGAGCATGTGCGCATGTGCTTGTGTGTGTGTGTGTGTGTGTGTGTGAGAGAGAGAGAGAGAGAGAGAGAGAGAGAGATTGAGAGAAAAAGAGAGAAGGGGGGTGGCGGTTTTTGTTGGTTATTGAAGCATTTTCAAGCTGGCTGGCTCGTTGCCCCCAGGGAGAATAACCAGTGGAGACCTGCAGTGGGACAGTGGGGGACCGTAGGGGAGAGAATGTGTCCCCCTGGGGGCCATGTCCTCCCAGAACAGGCAAATGCTGTAGTCCCAGCTGGGACTGCTCCCACTGACAGCTGTTTGGGGGCAAAGCCCCTCCCCCATGGCGAGCTCCCTGCTGTTCCTGCTCCTGTCACCTTGGCAACCAGCTTCTTTAGGATCTGCAAATAGAAAAGGTCCCTTATGCCCTGAAAAGGGGTGGGTTGGCAGGTGGGGGAGGGGAGTAAGGAGCGGAGAGCAGAGCCTAAGAAGTGGGCTTCTTGGAAATTTGAGGACAGAACCAAGGAGGGCAGGAGAGGCAGGCTGCAAGGTCCCATGGGCCAGGCCTCCAGGGAAACCAAGTCCTAAGGGAGCTGGCTCACAGCTCCCCACAAGAGGCTTGGTTCTTGGAGTCCTCATTCTAGGGGATAAACTCAGGGCCTTGGTGAACACTCAGGCCCAAAGGTGAGGAGAAAGTTGCTGACCAGGAGGTTGATGCTGTGAAAAAAAGGAAACTGTCAGGTTATTGAAAATTCTAGGCCCTTTCCACACAATTGTGCTCCAGATGCCAGGTCTTTGTTCTGCTTTCTCATCCCTCCTCAGGTCTCATCAGAGGAGAGAAAACTCTCTGCTGGAAAGGCCTGCCACATAGCAGCTTTGTTTTATTGCAGAGAGGGATTTGTGTCAGGGAATAGTGATTCCTGTCTGTGATAGGCCGGACAATGTGATGCTTGCTGATTCTAGGACTCTCGGGTACCACATTTCTCTCCCAGAGCAGCTTCCAAGCTGTGAGATAGACACTTTTACTTAGAGAATCCAATAAAAACAAAACATACAAATGGACTCGTTATCTCGCTAGAGTCAAGATTCCCAACAATTTTGATGTTAAAATTGTGCAACCAACTACGAAGGTCATTTCAACTATCACTGTAGGACCAAATTTAGATTCCTAAGAAGTTCCTCTTTATATTAGGGGGGAAAAGTCTACAGGATATCAGTGGAAGAGTTTGATATTTTGCTTAACACATCATAGGTGTGCACATGTGTGTGTATGTGTGTGTGACCGAAACAGAGGAAGAGGATACAACTGTGATACACAAAGGGCCTTGGAAGTGTTGAGCCTTCTTTCCTGAAATCCTTCACTCTAGGCTCCTATTATATTACCTCTATGAGTCATTGCCAACTACCAGTTAATAATAATAATAACTACCAGTTAATGAACAGCCATGTCTCAGGCACTGTCCGAAATACCCACATATCTTACCTACGTATCTCATTTAATCCTGACAATTCCATTCCCCTAAATGAAGAAGATATGGCTCAGAAAGACTAATTAACTGTCATTCCCAAATAGTTTTTCTCTGTCTCTTTAATTGTTTAGTTCAGCTCAATAAATACTCATTTAGCACCTATTATGTGCCAAACATAATGCTAACCATATGGGAGTTACAGAGATGAACAAGAGTTTAAATTCTAATTGGGGTGTGGAAATCTGAGTTGTGCCTGAAAAATGAGTAAGTTTCAAGAACAGAACAGAAGGAGGATGATCTCAGCTGGCACTGGGAAGCACCTACGCCCAGAATGGCTACGTGTGCATGTGACCATCTGTGCGTGTAGGTGGGACCTGTTCCTCCCTCCTTTCCCCTTGCCCCCACTGCCATTAGCTGTGAGACTCCCAAAGACTCAGTCCTGTCCTCCTGGTGTTTTACTCCAACACTTACCCCCTAAAGGAGCTTGTCTGTTCTTCCATTTCAGACACCTACCACCTGTCTGCAGATGACTTCTGAATATGGGCCCCTCCCTGTCTTCATTCCCCTTCCCTGTAGATTTCCTGTCTATAGGATATTCCCCTTGGATGTCACTCCACCACACACACATTTTAAAATTTTACAGAATTCATAAACAAAACAAAAACAAAAATCTGGATGTGTTCCTCTGAGGAAGAATCCCCGTTCCCAGTTT